GCTTCTCCTCTGGTGTGTTTGATTTCGTACACACCGTGTACAACACCGCGATAGCACGGGAAGACCCTACGATGGTGCCACCATCGTAGTGGATGATTCTCAGATGAGGTGACGACAAACGAATCTGGATCTACCGTGAGCAGCATTATGGGAGCAGTTCGGGATGAATGCCGCCGAGTAGCTCGATGCAAGGGGATCGACCTCGAACATTCGCCACGAACGCTGGTCGCTGATGGGGCAGAGCAAATCACAACTGGCTTCAGCAGCGTAAGATGCTACGGCCATTAGCCGTCGTGTTGTCGTAACTATGATACAGTCTACCAGCCATTACCATCATCGTATTGTGATACAGTCTACCAGCCATTATCATCATCGTATTGTGATACAGTCTACCAGCCATTATCATCATCGTATTGTGATACAGTCTACCAGCCATTATCATCATCGTGTTGTGATACAGTCTACCAGCCATTATCATCATCGTATTGTGATACAGTCTACCAGCCATTACCATCATCGTATTGTGGTACAGTCTACCAGCCATTATCATCATCGTGTTGTGATACAGTCTACCAGCCATTATCATCATCGTATTGTGATACAGTCTACCAGCCATTATCATCATCGTATTGTGATACAGTCTACCAGCGATTATCATCATCGTATTGTGATACAGTCTACCAGCGATTATCATCATCGTATTGTGATACAGTCTACCAGTCATTATCATCATCGTATTGTGATACAGTCTACCAGCCATTATCATCATCGTATTGTGATACAGTCTACCAGCGATTATCATCATCGTATTGTGATACAGTCTACCAGCCATTATCATCATCGTATTGTGATACAGTCTACCAGCCATTATCATCATCGTATTGTGATACAGTCTACCAGCGATTATCATCATCGTATTGTGATACAGTCTACCAGTCATTATCATCATCGTATTGTGGTACAGTCTACCAGCCATTATCATCATCGTATTGTGATACAGTCTACCAGCCATTATCATCGTCGTATTGTGATACAGTCTACCAGCGATTATCATCATCGTATTGTGATACAGTCTACCAGTCATTATCATCATCGTATTGTGGTACAGTCTTCCAGTCATTTGCAAATAAAATGATGAATGTTGACGAAATGTGATGTCTCAGGTATTCGGGAGCGTCCGACCAGACAAACTTACCCCTGAACTCACCTGGCCAGTAGAATCCGGTGATCCGACGGTCCGGTCGTCGAGAGTTAGGTTATACTGCTGGGTACATATGGAACGCAGAGTGTTACAAGCATCTCGGAAGGCTATCAATGAATCCACTGAGATCAGTGCGAGCGCTGTGGAGCAGAGACGAGCCGAGTTCAAATCCGACCTGGTTGCACTACAGCAGGCACCGAATGACGAACAGTTTGCATCAGCAGCCTCCTTACTAGTCGCCAAGTGGAACGATATGTATCCAGATTTTATGACAACCTTCAAAAATGGTTGGCTCCTCGAAAGGGCCACTTGGGGGCAGTCTTGCAGAGGTGTGGAGAGCGGAACACCACGTCATTCGTGTGCCATTGAAGGCATCAACAGCGGGCTGAAAAGAGGTTAGTGAACCTTTGTACCAACGAATCACCTACCAGTTCCTCAGGTAAAATAGCAAAATCTGCCACCGTCCCCGCGCTCATAGGGGAGATGATCGGGTACGTGGAGGATTCGACGACGATTGCAGCAGAGGCGTCCGATCAAGATGCACAGCTTGTGCGGCGTCGGGCAACGGCGGGGGCTAAATGGGCCGAGAAATACGCAAGAGTGGACAACGGGACCGAGATTAAAGGCATCTACACCGACGATAACGCTAAAATGTACATCATCGCAACAGATAGGCTAGCACATGCCGCTGGTGATCAAGAGACCTTGGATTTTGCTATAGAGCAGTATGCTAGAAGAGTCCTAGGGTTGCCAAGCCTGCCTTGGCGCGACTACGATGACTTCAAGACTATTTCCCAGAATGCTCACATCGTAGATCGAGAGAACTATTCCTGTACTTGTTATAACGGCCGCTTCCCACCTTGTGAGCATAGCGCTGCTGTGCGATTTTTGGAAGGACTTTCTGTGGAGAACTTCGAGTGGGATGATCTGGTTACTTACGGTCCAAGGCCAACCGGGCGACCACGGTAATCAACCGTCATCTGCCTCCTTGTATTTACTATACCCGACTGCACATACCTCCTGTTCGATTCAGGCACAGTAAAGTGAGAGCATTGGAGATTGATCCCGTCTACGCGCTGAGAGCTCGAGGAAATCTACATGACCGACGAATTCGGGACCGTCCCACAACCCTTCGATTACCAGAGAATGCCAGGGTAGTGTATACGAATGCCCTCCTGGGGTCCCAGCTAGCCAGTAAGTTGCCCGTTTGACTATGTTACCACAATTTTGCGGCCATACCAGGCTGAAGCAATCATCTGACATAGTTCAAAGCCCTGGTGTGTGACCGAGTTTCAGCCCGAATTGAGACCCAATCTAGGCTTATTTTGTATCTCCTAGTTCTCTCCTCCCTCAGATTCTTCGTTCGGCACACCCCCAACCCCTCGGTCACGTCCACCGGTCCCCCCGAATCCTCAATTTGAAGAGCGTGAGTATCCAGAGCTCTACCATTTCGCTATTCAGGCGTGCCAAGCCTGAATTGACACTCACTCCACCTGATATTTTGGCTCATTTTGATGCAGATGAAATGAGCGAAGATTCTATCCCTTCATCAATCCACAGGAACCCCACGGCTACCGACACCGGAGGATCGCCGAAAACAGGAATACTGGGAACAGAAACAGTGAGTCAACGAACTGTGCTCTCCGCAAGTGACAGTTTCATTGGATAAGGAACAAGCCGGAATGGTCATACCTTCGGTACCGAAAAGGACGCGGAACAATCCACAACCCCGGTATAAGCAGATGAAAAGAAGCAAGCACGCGAAATTCGGTCGTGGCAGCGAGGAGTTGGACAACGAAGACTTACATGTGAGCGCCCCACGGGAACCGGATGGTGTCTTCGGTCCCCCTCCTTGAACTCCTCAAGACGTTCTTCGCTGAATGCCATTCCATTCAGGAGTGGTACAGAAAAAAAACTGAAAACCATAAATGCATTTTGATCAGATACACAATACTCAGCAGAGTGCAGATACACTCAACGATATCACGTTCTCGAACCTCTCGGATGCATTGCCCAAGGTAATTCACTCGTAAGCACTCTCCGATATCTTAGTGTGCCACCAACTGTTCAAAAACGCTGAGCTCGTTTTCGGTCTCTGGTTGAACCAGACTGGTTCAGCCCCTCCCAACATCGAGAAGCGTAGAAGCACAATGCTTGGTGGAGAAGCGTATCCCGATGCCGGTATGTCTCCTGTGGAGACTACAAAGTTGATATGTTCCTCATAGGCCCTACACTGCTCCAAGCCAACGGTTCCTGCTGTCCTCCCAGTGAGGTTGGAGCTAATGTAGGTGACGATATTTCAGGGAGGGGAGGCGTCGGAGAGAATTAGTTCTTCCAACACTTAGTACTAGAGTCACTAGTATCCTCACGGCATGTACTACTGTCTCTTCTGAAACACACCGTTCACGGGAATGTTCCGACCCGGTTGGAACATTCCCGGTCGGAACGACCGCTCTGAGAGTGGCGCTCTTGTGTAATCATGCACTCCCTTGAATCACCATTACTTAGGGAGACCTGGCAGTGGAGTCCCAACCGATTGCGACTATGAAGCTAAGACGTCGGAAGCGCTTTGATTACAATGCATTCAGTCGGGATGGCAGTCGAACCTATTTTGACGGAGCCGGGAGCAGTGAAGTTGCCAATTAATTCTACGTGAGATGTCTGGCGTGGCTCATAACATAGCCCAACTATGATTATCGGAGTCCGATCGCTGTATCTTCTCAGGACAGTCTTCCACACAATCTCGACCGATCGCTCAACGAGCTGTATGCGCTAAACGCTATTGCAGTTTGATTAATTGAGAACTATGTCTTTAAGCATGGCTGGTCTGAGCATCGGATTAATTGACCTATTGACGTAGCTCTGTGTTGATCAATCAACTATTTCGAAGGCTCAATGTCAAAACAAATTTTCATCTCTCATGTGGGAACATGGGCGAAGTCGCAAACCGTCGGCGAGACAAATCTTTCGTTTTACGTATCACATCAAAAACACATCACATGCTTTACGCGGCACTCACTGCTCATATGCATTTTTCGCGAAGTGAAATGTGAGATGTGTTTTTCACTAGTGTTTTTCACATCACGGGTGAAACTCCAATGATAGTACCGAGGATGGTGAAAGTTATACCGTGACCCGTGTCTCACTATTACCCTTCTCTGTGATCTGAAAATACGATGTAATGGAGTAGACTACCAATGGTAGTTTACCACTAGTTCGGGCAGTAGTCACGCTAACCTCAGAATCACTACCGGACTCAGTAGTAATCCTAGTCAAAGTGGCACTAGCTGCGGCAGTAGCAGTGCTAACCACAAGCCCATTGGTTGAGGTAGCAGTACTGCTAGTCACAAGACCACTCGTTCGTTTCTACGAGTATAGTTGGCCATGTAATAGATTTGACAGGGATACATCAGCAGTCAAGGCTAGACGCGATGAAGCAAGTATCAAAGAACGGTCTCGCGGAAATCAGGTATCAGCCACGCATGAAGTCGTCTTGAAACTCGATACCTTGATGGGACTCTGGTGGGCATCTCGAGCACTTTGCATGAAACTGAGGCGGCTGCGGCCGGACCCCGGATGTTTCCGGGAAGCGCCATGTTGAGTAATCCGCGTGAATCCTACGTAAACTGGGTTTATACGTAATACTTGAGATCGTGGGGAATGCATCCTAGCATCAGCAACATGAAACTTCCAGTGCAATCATAGGATCCTGAATAGTCCAAACACATATCGTTATGAACATTTCAGAGGCCAGCGAACCCCTCGTTGTTCATAAATAAATAACTGTTTGCATCTAGCCGATTCATACCCATCATGAGCGAGAACACTCTATCAATATTTAATTGGGGACAATAAAGTTCATTCGGGGAAATTCTAGTGGTTTTCGGGGATTTAGAGTATTATTCGGGGCGCGCGAGAAGTTTTCGGGGCCACCAAAGCACCGGCCCCCGCATTGTTCATATCGATCGAACTGGCGCGCGCTCAATGCGATATCCGATAAGTAACTGTGCTTGCAGCTGGCAGAAAAAGGAACCTCAGTCCGCATGGCATGATCCTATTTCGGGAACTTGGACCCTAGTAAGTGGAAGGGTGAGACCTGGGAAGATGTGCGACTGTTTTCATGTGATCGTGAGGCAACTCTATTCTTTTTAGAAGTGTTGGTAAAAATGGATTCAACACAGCACAGGGTAGGGGGATTGGGTATGCCTGGGATATAAGTCACACGGAGAGACTTGAATGCTTGGAATCTTTGCTATTCTCTGTGGTCTTGGAGATGAATTCCTTTCATCCTCTGCGGATCCGAATGTCGCCATATGCGACCCTCGTTTAGCGTCTTAATTCGTTTAGGTGTGAATGATCACCGATATCTGAGTAGTGGTTATGCTCTCACTGAGGATAGGGAACTCTGTTATTGATAGTTCATTGCCAAACGCACCATGGCTGCCTCACCGGCTGCTGCCGACGGACCCACGGAGGGTCGTGATTCTAGTAGCGGCGCCGAAACGGCCGACTTCTCTGAAAGTCCAATGGCGATGGCGGATGATGATCTTAAGGGAGCTTCCAATTCTGTGATTGATGCTAAGCCCATCGTGAAGAAATCTTTCTTCGCTCGGATGTCGCAGTTGAACCTTCTGGCACCTGATGGACGGTTTAGTGCTGTATTCAATCTTTCGGCGGCTACTTTGGGAGCAGGAGCCTTGGCTGTTCCTATTTCGATATTAGATGCAGGTATAGTAGGTGGAATACTGTTGTTGTTCGTGATGGGTGTATTATCACTCTTGTCTATTATAATGATCGCCAAGGCCTGTTACATAACAGGGAAGCCTTCCTATGAAGAATTGTTAGAGCATCTCTTTGGCAAAGGTGTGTGCTATGGCTTTGACGTTGTTATGATACTTTTCTGTTTTGGCACTTGTGTTACTTACCTAATCACGTTGTTCGATATCCTATATCCGGTCCTTGTCCATTTCATTGGGCCTGACCCCACCAACTGGTTCCTCAAGATCTGGGTACACCGCATTCCCTTTACTGCTGTTATCGCTATTGTTATCTTGCTTCCTCTCTCTTTGAGAAGTCACATTAGCGAGATTCGTTATGTCACATTTCTCGGTGTACTCGGTGTTTTCTTTCTGGCTATAACATCTATCTACGTTCTATGCCGTTACGGCGTATCAGATCATCTACCATCAGATATGGTCTCTCCAGTGAATGGTTGGACTAGCATGCTGGCGGCTATCAATACCTATACGTTTGCTTATTGTAATCAACCTAACGTCCCAGAGATCTACATCCAGGTCCGCGACCCTACGACCAAGCGGTTTATGCCAGTAGTAGTATGGACGATCGCAGTGTGCTTTGCCGTCTATGTTACTGTTGGTATTACTAACTTCTTGGCATTTGGTATGGATGTACAGTCCTCTATCATCATCAACTTAGGACAGTACATATCTCAAGGCGATGTCATGATATGTATTTCCTTTGCTTTGGAGTGTATCACCATTATTGGTGCATTCCCATTGGTGGTCTATCCTCAGAGGAGTTCTATCGTTCATGCTATATCGGCATGCTTGCCACCTAGGAATGCATGGTGGAAGAAGGTATACGGTTGGATAGTAGTGGTACTCATAATTGGTTTATCCTATGCTGTGGCTATTGCATTACCCGATGTTAATGTTATGTTGGGTCTGGTTGGCTCTTTGACCGGTTCGATTGTCACATTTTATTCACCGGCTGCCTTTATATTGAAGATCTCCAAGAAGCCGCTTCTTACCTTTGATGTTGAGCACATCGTATGTTACGTATTGATAGTCGTTGGTACCATCGCATTCGTATTGGGGACCTACGCCTCGGTGCAAGGTGTCATAGATTATTACTCTTCCTAGCTGTTCCTATTACAGTCCACCACACTGAGCTGGTTTCTGAATCTGGTATTAGCCATCTGACGGTCGAACTCCTCATTACCTGCCGAATTTGATAGTTGCGTTGGGGGATGGCTCTTATGTGCGCTATTGTAGTACTTGTTTAATGTCTGTTCTTGATGGTGGTGGCGGTAACGGTATAATAGAGTGTACAGCATTCAGTGCATGGAATGATGATCGTGTCGAATCCACCTGTATGAGGGGCGTATCACCATTAGCAGCAATATGGGTCGTCATCGAAACCAACGTGACAGTCTCGGATAGTTAGGACCATCCGAACTACATCGCAGCGATGACCGATTTTGGCCATTATTCAACGTAGTGGAACTCGATGGGATACCCTCGTACTTTGGGCGGGCCCTTTTCAATGTTAACGAGTGTGAGGGAACTCGATGGAGTCCCTTTGATATTGATAGATTCTTTCGGCGTGTCATGCTGGTCGCAAGGGATATATTATTTCATAATATGACTAGGATCTTGCGTCGAGGCCAACTCTCCACTCATGCTCAGATTTTGTTAATTTCCCTTTCGGGCACTTGCAAATGGGGTTTCATCGTTTGGCTGAGGAAAGTGAACATATATTCGTGATTTATTGCATTTCAACAGTGCTGCTACCTAGGGTATTGGGAACGGTCGAGACTCCTTTGAAGTGGTTGGTCCAGTGGAAGATGTGTGTTCTACCGACCTCATCGTAGTAGATAAGTTAGCAACATGCACTTCGTATTTTTTCTCTGTTCTGTGGTGATGAACAGGGACCCATTTAGCTCCGAGAAATATCGTCCTCCCATGGTTTGATAACAATGGGAAAAATGTGTTGACATCTACATGGGAAAGTGATTGAAGTATGTGCTTCGACCTTGGCTGAATTTTCTACGTTGCTAGGAATCCTAGCTATGTGGGACATTCAAAATGAGTCCCCCCGGGAACATTATAGGTGTCTGAATGATTCTCTGGTGATAACCGTGCAGTGACCTTGAGTAGGCTAGCAGTTTTTTCAAGGGGAAATCTGACGACGTGTATTCTATGGCTGTTTCTGACGTTGCCGAGGATACTATAAATCTACAGGATAAAGCATTGCCTTCAGCTGTACCTGGCGTTGATGTTCTCAAGTTGGTGGGGATTACGTTGGAAAGCGAGAGTCGCTACTAGCATGCCACTTCGTCTGGGGAGGAGGAACAACAGGTCGGAGATATTGTTATTTGTAGTATCTTTCCGGCTAGCGCTATAAGCCTACTGTTAACCCTTCCGTATGGTGAACATCAACAACAACAACAACAACAACAATAAAGCGGTGAAACCCAAGATTGTAGCCACTCGTAAGTGGTTTGATCTCGCTGGTTACCTTGGCTTGCTAGCCTTCTCTCACTCCATTGTAGGAAGCATGCCTTTGCGATCAGGCCTTGATGTGGATTTTCTTAATATAGGTCCTCTACTTGGCTACGTCTATTCGGCTGTATAGAGGGCATGTGTTCAATCCCATGAGGCTCTGGTTCGATGAGGGATTCACTATTCTTCTAGATGATGTCAAAGAGAACTTCTTGGAGGCGGCCGTTTGGTACATGGGGTTTTATGAGTCGCCAGGCATGTTATGTTGTGGTGTTTCAGGTACTTTGCCTTTATAGCCTTCGAGATGTTCCTCGGTGTAGTCTTACCAGGAGTCGTTGTCAAGGGGTTGCCTCTTGCCAATGGAGACCGTCTGGTGTACAATTGCAACGCCCTTGCAGCATGGTATCCTGGTCTACTTTGGAGCGTAGCGGCATGCTTTGGTCAGGTATGTTACGCTCATCACATTAGCTGCTCTTCACCTCACCAGCATCTGGTCTATCACCCGTCTGACGGACTATTACTATTCGTTGGTCCTGCTCACTATGTTAGCTGCTGATATCACATCTGTTTACATGTGGTTCACGGGGTAAGCGCGGATCTCGTTGCTGTGTTCGCAGTTCGAATTTCTTTCAGTTGGATGGCCGGCTTGTCGAGCGGTGAAGGTCAGGTGGCTGATTTCATCATGGGTACCTGGTTGAACCCAAGGCTATTCGGTGGGAGACTTGACCTTAAGATGTTCTTTGAGGTGCCTTTACTCATTTACAGTCAGCTCTTTGACAATTTCTTTCGTATCAGGTTCGTGTGTCATGGATGTTACTATTCATCCTTACCCTTGCATGCAGCATTAAGAGCGGTTTCAGTGGTGGTATGTTCATCATTCTAACCGCACATTTCCTCTACGCCAATTCATGTGAGTTCTATGCCGCTGTCCTTTCGTCGGTCGTGACTCAACTATTGGCAACATTGTTAGGCATTAAGGGCGAGGAATGCATCCCCACTACCTGGGATATTTTCAAAGAAAAGTGAGTCAAATTCCATGTTTCGTTGACGACTGGAAACTGGAAGGTTTTTCAGATGGGGATGGATGCTGATTTACTGGAACCTCTGTGGGGTTCCATTCGTATACTGTTTTTCGAGCTGGTTCATCTGGAAGAATCCCCAGTATGCGTTACAGCCTTGGCAGACCGGTGCTCTTCTTGGTCTCCTTTTCTGCTCGTGAGTGATTGACGCTGATCAACACAAGCGAGAGTGTTCGTTGTTGCCAGCTATTATATTTTCGATACGGCGAACGCCCAGAAGAGTCATTTTCGTAACCCTAACTTGCCGACTCGGACAGCGGCCATCCCACAGTTCGAATACGGCCATTTGGATCACCCAAGAATTCTCAAAACTCATTGTGGCACAGATCTTCTAATGGATGGATGGTTAGTCCGCCGGAGATGTATCGTCCTACTATGATCCTTTGTCAGGTATAGGTATGCAAGGAAGGTTCATTACGCTGCTGACTGGACCATGGCCGGTGTCTGGGCTTTGTCCTGTGGTACAGTCTCTTGCCTATTGCCGTTCATTCACTGGATGTTCTTCACTTGTATGATTTTTCAAAGATATTTGAGGGACGATGCACGTTGCCGTCAGTAAGAATAAATCGTTACATAACACGTCATCGAAACTGGCTTCAATTCATTTTCAGGAAGTATGGTAAAGACTGGCAGCGCTACTGCCAGTTAGTTCCATATGTCTTCATTCCAGGACTCTTCTAGCTACGGGCAACGCGTTGAACCATCACTACTGCAAATCGGTGGTTTACTCGACTGCCAGCTAAGGATCGATGTCGACTTGAGATTCATTGATAATGCTGATCGAGACCGAGCAAGCTCTCATCATGGTAGCTGTTCTTGAGTTCAGTCTAGTATCGCGAAGCATAGTGACTTACTCTAGCTGAACCGCGTTCGTCAGCCTGTTCGTTGTTAGGCCTGCAAACACACTGCGTAAGGTCACATACCGGAAACACGAGGAAAAGGGTATCTTTTTGAGAGACCATGGTTGCTGTCAGCAACCCTGGTCAGCAACTTGCTGAGCCTCTGGATGTCTACTGGACACCAAACTGGAGGCAGCATTGTGACGTTAAAGTGCAGGCGTTGGCGAGACTCAAATCCTCATTTAAACCGCGTCGCTGAACTGACCTCGTTATTCATGTACTTATATCTTTCGAGCTCCAGGTTAATGTCCTCACCCGGGTATGCGAAATACTTGTCCTCGGGCATAGCGGCCCCTCCCCTATTCGGCGGCCCTAAATAGATCTCTGAATGGTATAGTCCATAGCGGGGGGCATAGCGGCCCCTCCCCTATTCGGCCGCCCTAAATAGATCTCTGAATGGTATAGTCCATAGCGGGGGGCATAGCGGCCCCTCCCCTATTCGGCCGCCCTAAATAGATCTCTGAATGGTATAGTCCATAGCGGGGGGCATAGCGGCCCCTCCCCTATTCGGCCGCCCTAAATAGATCTCTGAATGGTATAGTCCATAGCGGGGGGCATAGCGGCCCCTCCCCTATTCGGCCGCCTTAAATAGATCTCTGAATGGTATAGTCCATAGCGGGGGGCATAGCGGCCCCTCCCCTATTCGGCCGCCTTAAATAGATCTCTGAATGGTATAGTCCATAGCGGGGGGCATAGCGGCCCCTCCCCTATTCGGCCGCCCTAAATAGATCTCTGAATGGTATAGTCCATAGCGGGGGGCATAGCGGCCCCTCCCCTATTCGGCCGCCCTAAATAGATCTCTGAATGGTATGGTCCATAGCGGGGGGCATAGCGGCCCCTCCCCTATTCGGCCTCCCTAAATAGATCTCTGAATGGTATAGTCCATAGCGGGTGGCATAGCGGCCCCTCCCCTATTCGGCCGCCCTGAATAGATCTCTGAATGGTATAGTCCATAGCGGGGGGCATAGCGGCCCCTCCCCTATTCGGCCGCCCTAAATAGATCTCTGAATGGTATAGTCCATAGCGGGTGGCATAGCGGCCCCTCCCCTATTCGGCCGCCCTAAATAGATCTCTGAATGGTATAGTCCATAGCGGAGGGCATAGCGGCCCCTCCCCTATTCGCCCTAATAGATCTCTGAATGGTATAGTCCATAGCGGGGGGCATAGCGGCCCCTCCCCTATTCGGCCGCCCTAAATAGATCTCTGAATGGTATAGTCCATAGCGGGGGGGGCATAGCGGCCCCTCCCCTATTCGGCCGCCCTAAATAGATCTCTGAATGGTATAGTCCATAGCGGGGGGCATAGCGGCCCCTCCCCTATTCGGCCGCCCTAAATAGATCTCTGAATGGTATAGTCCATAGCGGGGGGCATAGCGGCCCCTCCCCTATTCGGCCGCCCTAAATAGATTATTGAGAACGAACACGATTATTGGAATTACTGTAACATAACACTGATATAATTGTTAACAACAATACTAACCAACTGTGGTTGATGTAATCGCCATATCATGCGACTCATGGGAGAAGATATTGCTTTCAATACTAACATCACTTCTTCTTGTTCAAGAGCTTCGAGAAGAAGCCCTTCTTCCGCTTGGGCTCGTCAACATTGCCACCTTTGCCTTTACGCTGCAGTCTGACGGCTGAGGTCTCTGTGAGGAGGGTGGCAATCAGTACGACGGCTAGAGTGATGCGAGGGAATTGCATTGGTGTTTCCGTAGAGGAGATAATGGGAACGCTGAACAGTGAACTTCACAACGCGTCACAGCTCTGCGATCGCAAAGCAATCCTGCGCGGTCGGTGAATTCCGTGGCGCAGGCGGAGCGAAGTGATCCCCGTTCACACGATTTCGTTTTTGTGCAACGACTTTTCCTACCTACATGAGAAATTCCAGAGTTGAGCTGTGGCTCCCTCGTCTCTGATACACGTCAGCATGCCGTCGGGAGAAACCCTCACTGCAGTTAAGTCAATACTTCCTGATGGCGGTATGGCGTTGTCAGCAAGAGCAGGTCCTTCCCTACCTCCTTTGAGGTGTGATTTGGTCCAGGATGTCCTTCACTGTATGGGAAGTGACATTACTGAGGACTTTATACGGGTAATACTGAAGGACTCGATTACATACGACATGGGACTATACGAGTCTGATATGGTACAGTTTACAAGCCGCGAACAAAACGCTCACAAACGGCGTTAACCACTAATATGATTGATTGGGTATAGGCACATATTAAGGGTGGTGAAGGAGAAGACAATTCTCTAAGTCAAGTTACTGAGATTACAATGAAAGTAGTAGTAGTAGTAGTGTTATCGGCTTATGAGGCTCGAAACGACTTTATCAGTTGAGTACTGACGCCCACGACGTAAGCAGTGTAGGAGAACGTTTACCAGCCCTTACTGTCCTCAAGTGGGTCATCACCGACTGGAATAGGCTGTTATCGTTGGTATCAGCCTCGCGGGCTCGTACATTAGCGAGGCTCGGAGCCTTGGGACGAAGCTGAGTGGACTTATAGTCTTGAAGTAGGATGGTTGGAATGGGCTGGGACGCTGTTTGGGGCTCCTTAGTTTATCGAGAAGTCATCTGAGTGATCTGTCTGGCATGAGCTCGTTGCTGCCAAACCTACAAGAGCTGTGAGTTGGAGACTTCGGCTGACACTCGAAAGATCGGGAGTTCGATTCCTTGTGAAGGTACATTGCTTTTAATTGCCTCACCACGCTGAATGGCATTGATTGGATGGACTCTCTACAGATAGTAGATGTTGAAGGCAATTCAGTCTCTACCATAAACGACCTCTCGGCTCTCGCGACTTGTAAGGTCTTGCTCCCCCTATTACTTCTCAATAGCAATATGGGCTGGTCAGGCAGTAGTGTGTGGCAGCTCTCACTGGAAGGCAACCCTGTCACTCGAAAGGTGTCTTTACGAGACCTCCTTGGTCTCATCCCGAGCCTTGAAGTTCTCGATGATGACACCAGGGTCGACTGTGTTTCCCAAACGCAAGCTTGTACCCTCACAATGTGAATGAACAGCCAAGGTGCTGTCTGTTAGTAGAGCTTGCATTAGATATGAGTTGTATAGAGGAAGGCGAGGGAGCAGTGCTGTGGATCGGACCACTGGTTTGAGTACGACGAGGACAGGGGATGAGATCCACACAGTGAGTAGTAATTTATATGAGAAAGGATTGAGAAAATTCTTATAAAGAATCGTCAGTTAATTGAGTCGGTGAACGTTCGTGAAAATAGTCAATAAATTTGTATGGAAATAGTGAGTGAATTTCCATAACAGTATTCGCGGTGAAATTCCGACGACAAATGAAGCGCCCTGTTCAGTCACGGTCGGACCTGGAGGACTTATTGGCGACCACCACACTGGACTTGGGAGTGAGTTGGGTCATCAGAAGGGCTCCTAAGGAAGTTGGTTTTAGGTCTCTAATGTGAGCGAGTCAGAGCCGGACGAGATATCGTTGGTATTGGAAGAGGCCAGGAAGCGAGCGGCAAGTCAGGCCTGGAGTAGTTGGGATAAGGTGAGGGATATTCGGCTAGGGAAGGCAGGCTATTTTTAGGGCGGAGTTTATTCGTCTCGTTCGCCGTTGACGGGGAGCACCACAGGAAGGGAGTATATGAGTCGGCCATGTGAGAGGCTCTATGTATGTGGTAAGGGTAGGTCGGGTTAGGTACTGGGGACATGGTCATGAGAACGGGTTCATGTGAGTCGATGCCGCCGAGCTCATCGATGTTGACCACTGGTGGGAAGGCATTTAGTGGCAGTCCACTGAAAGCGATACGGTATAGTAAAAGCAGGGAGGAGGAGGGGAAGGTGAGGGGAAGAGGACCGTTGGATGATGTTGGATGCATGGATATACGACAACTCCTGGACAAGTGAGTTGAGGTAGGATACGTATGAGGTTACCTTTATTACTACAGGTACCGCACGGATGATGATGCTGCCTATAATAAGCTCTGGCGGCGGAGTTGATTATGGCGACCATGACCGTTACTCTTTGTCGTCTATGAATACCCTGTTGTTTGGTTCGGGACGGCGTTAGAAGTTTCCTTTAGTTTTTGGCTATATACAATGTCGGGAGGCTCCTCTACTGTTAGCAATAAGAAGCAACGAGGCGGGAATACGGGCAGTCGTCCACGTGTAGAAGTCCCACATGGGATTGAACCACGTAAGGGCTATAATAGTTGGCAAACAGTGATTGGATTGTCATTGTGTTCGAAAAGCACCTCGGGAAGTATATAATGGAGTTTCACTCGTTTTACGTGAAGTGGCGGCGTAAAACTCGGTCAAAAACGCGATGTTCGCGGTGATATGCAGCAGTCGTAAAGTATGTTTTTCATATCACTAGGGTGGTGAAACTCCAATGTTCACGCCCCGGTATTATTGTGATTGTGGGGGTTTCATCCGGATTCTGATCAGTATGGAGAAATATTCACGTAGTCAGGAACTTGGTTTTTATATGCTCCTATGCTAAGTCGCGGGCTCCTGTTTGGTTTTAATGAGTTCTCCTAAGGTACGGCTAGTAATCTGTATTCCTCATATGAGATCGTCAAGGCGGTGAATGACTTTCTGGGAGAGGTAGGTCGTGACTGACAGCACTCCTCATACCACTCATTTGGTAATTCAGGCTCTACCGGCTTTGGGTTATATCGAAGATACTAGTCTACCGTGGATGAGGATACTCCTTATGGCTCTGGCTTGCAGTGCTGGCATCGTCGGGCAGTTCTTTCTCAAGTTTCCTGCTGTACCACATTCCTACTCGGCAAGGAGGAACCTTTGTGTGTTCCTGTTTAGGATTCCTCTTTATTGAAGTTATGTGTGTTGGGCTACTTCTTCTTCTCTGGCGTCACTTGTTTGGTTGATATGCTTTTGACCAAGTCGAGTGACGTTCAGATCAGCGATCGGGAGGTAAGGAATTAGAGACAATTTCGAAGATTGAATTTGATTTTTTTTCATTCAGACTGGTGATAGGATCTTTGTCGACGTGGAAATGCAAGGCTTCAGCTCGGAGTTGGTATTGAGATTGCGCAGTAACAAGCCGAACATGTCCGAGGTGATCCTAGGATACTCGTGTGCATGCGTGCAAGAATCTTGTGTCGTGATGATCAGGAAATTCGGGAGAGCATTGGGAATTACTTCCATGAGGATGGTGAGTTGGATGGCCAAGAGCTGCTTACCCGTTTTGATGTCCTTTACCGTCGGTTTGCGAGTCATAGGCGGCTAGCTATGAAACAGAGTAAACGAGAATAATTTCGTGGCGCAGTGACGGTGACGAACGCTGCCTTTTTTACTGGTGTTGAGCAAGAATGACCATTTTCATATCAACATTTAGCTGAGTTCATCGATAGGAGGGAGGTCATTGTGGTAGATGATCCACATGTCACGACTTGATCAATGATCAGCATTGGGTCATACAAACGACTGAGGAAGTAAACAGCTATGGTATAGTTGCCGTACTGAAAAAATAATTGGTGGAGACTTTAGCCTTGAAGATTGTGCTCGCGTGCACGTTGGCTTGACCGGCCATTCTGACAGTATAACATCAGGTGAGACCGTAGAGCGACTCGTGAGTTCGTTGTGGCTATAATAAGCGCTCATAGTTGTGTAGTTGTCCCCTTGTGTCGGTTCCTTCTATGACTAGCACGAGCTATTTGTCTATATTTTCCCTTTGTAGTTTTTGATGCTTCCCCTGAGGGAGATTATATGCCTTGGATTTTTTCACTGATGTAGGTTGTTGTTAATTCTAGTCTAATTCGTTGCTTATGTCGAACGCCACTGTAGAGGATCTCGCTAAAGCCATCAAGGCTGGTCAGGAGATTGTTATTGTTGATGTTAGGAGTGATGATGAACTGAAGGCTAAGCGTGAGGAACTCGGGGAGTTCACTTATGGTCGTGCATTCGATGTCTGTTTCAGCTTCGAATCCTGGTAGTGTCCATATTCCTATTGCTGAGTTCAATGATAGGATGAGTGAAGTTCCTGAGGGGCCTGTTGTCATTCACTGTGCTATCGGCTTGAGAGCAAGTAAGTCGTTGTAGTGACTGTATAGGTTGTTATGTATTGTTGTTGTTAGAGCGTGGTGCTGATGCATTGAGAGCTGCTGGTCGTTGCCCTGTTATGAATGTCACTGATTGCGATGCGGCCAAGAAGGTTTGTGAAGAGGCTGAGGAGCTTGCTAGGAAGATGTGAAGTTCACAATGAACAGTGTTCCTCTTACTTGGTGTTTTTGACACGTTGCATTATCAGAAGCGTGTTAGTTTTATATCATAGTTTTACTGTCGTTGTGATAGGAGCTCTTAAAACACTCATAGAGGGACTTGGTCAAAAATACCGGTGTCTCGACTACTGTTTGTGTTGTGTTGCTGGAAACGCCGCTGATTGTTGGTTCGTAGTTCACATTGTGTCTATTGCTTTTATCGTGATGTCTTCTTCGTCTGCCTCCTCATCGTCATCGCCGTTGACCAGTATAGCATTCTTGGGCTTAGCTGTAGTTATCGGCTCTTGGTTAACTGGCACTGTTGGGAAGTTGTTACCTCTTGTGGTATTGATTGCCGTTGCTGTAATGGGCTCTATGATGTCGAGTAGTAACTCTACTACTACAGCTGATCTGGCTGCTGAGATCGCCAAGGGAAAGAAGCTTACTATTGTTGATGTTAGGGGAGATGATGAATTGGCGACCAAACGTAACAATTGTTATGGAGTTTACGGAAGTCGTGGACTCGATATTTGTTTCAGCTTCGAACCCTGGTAGTGTCCATATTCCTATTGCTGAGTTCAACGATAGGATGAGTGAAGTTCCCGAGGGACCTGTTATTGTTCACTGTGCGGTCGGCTTGAGAGCTAGTAAGTCGTTGTAATAGGTTTATTGGTAGTTATGCATTGTTGGTGTCAGAGCGTGCTGCTGATGCATTGAGAGCTGCGGGTCGTAAGCCTGTTATGAATGTCACTGATTGCGATGCGGCTAAGAAGGCTTATGATGAAGCTGAGGAACTTGCTAAGAAGATGTGAAGCTCACTATCAAACTATGCTCCTCCTATTACAATTCGTTACTAGTTTCTCATATTTGTTCTAGCGCAGTTTGCGCGTCGTCCTAATAGACATCTGAATAAAATAGTTGAGCACTTGGCTAAAAATACCAGTCTCACGATTCTGAGCGAATAGTTGCGTTACTTTCCAAGGTTGTAGGGTATTAACGATGATTCGCACGTCGTAATGGTTTGCAAATAGCTTTAGGCACATCGGCTCTGCGTTGGCCGCATGTCCAAAAAGTTGTGGCCTCTCGTGGTATTGATTATCGTAAGCGTACTGAATTTTGTGGCTTAGCTATGAAACGGTTATTCAGCAACAGTGAACTTAGTGTCTTGGAAATAGTCTGTTTCGTGTGCTCACATGGAGGTAGAAAAGATCGCTTCTATCATTGGATAGAGGCTTAGGTTGGATGATGCAGTGAGGACTGTTATGACTGTCATGGACAGGTATGAAATTCTAGATCTTGGAAAAGCGCAAATGGTGTTTAGGCAGTACCGGTTATGACGAAGTGCTCTTGGAATTTGTTGAGGGTTTTCTACTATTTCCTCTGTTGTTGTCTCCATGTCTACCTTTGAGGCAGTGCTAGCCAGCTGTGGACATGCAGATTTCACAGTGCTTGATGTTCGGAGTGATGATGAAATTGGCAAGGAAGGTAGTGGGGACACGAAGGAGGCTGGTTTTGCTGTGTCATTCACCACTGCAGGGAATACGTCATCGTGATAGTTCGATCTCGTAGTGAGAAGTGATTTGGGAGACAATTGTTCAGCGGTAACCCATTCATTATCACTCTGAATACTTGTCCACAATCAGTCAAATTCTGATAAAATTACGCCATAATGGAAGCTAATGACGTAAGAAATGACGAAACTCCTATCAATTCGCAATTGATTAGTTTTCAATAACTGATTGATCCTCTCACATCTCCGAGAAGCTTGGAACTCAACTCTTCCAAAAATCTGCAGCAGTTAGATAGCAAAGGGTTGTTGGAATAGAGTGATCGTGTTGAATCATTATTAATGATGGCGCTCCGTTCAGCTCCAGTGAATGGCGCAGTTCATATCCCTCTCGCTGAGTTGCCGCAGAGGTTTGATGAGATCAGGAAGGATCGTCCAGTGCTAGTCTACTGTGCCCATGGCACACGAGCGAGTAATGTCAGTGAAATCACATCTGTGACGTAGATTTGGTATGATATCAGATCATGCTGCGAGTTTCCTCATGCAAGAGTGTGGGTTCAGAGCTGTGTTCCCTACCACTAATAGAGACAGTGCTCAACAGATAGTACAACAAGTAAAAGCTCATGCTGATCAGGATAGGCAGGTTAGATCGAACTCATTTCGGGTCTTCGTGAACTTTTTGATGCTGTATTCTTGTTCAGAAAGCATCAAATGCACGGCTGAAGCGTGGAGCATTGATAGCGGGGATAGTGGCGCTATCGGCAACTGTGGTAGCGTTAGCACTCTGGAAGTTACCACATAGGAGGCAGACGCGTAATGATAATAGTTAGTAGTAGCGCCATGCTGCTGTATTATTGTCATTGCTAGCTTCGGAAATCGGTGGTGATCCGTACCCAGATTTGTCGTTCTCTCCCATTCTCACTTAGCTCGTCATGTCTCGTTTCTATCGCACTATACTCTAATGGATACTCTGGCATCCTCCATCATCGTATTCTCCGTTTCATCTCGTGTTGCCCTAAGAGTGGTGGCAAGCCGTGGACCATTTTCCTTTCTGTCGTACGGTTGACTTGGCTAGCGTGATTGCCTGTAGTTACTTGCAGTTGTGTTTCCGGTATAGTTTGGCTGATGCACGTAATGTTGTTGTGTTGGGGGGTATAGATTTGATGAATCACATAATG